TTTCTCTAATAAAATATAATAAAATATTGAAAAAATATTTCTTATTACAACCTAACCTAAAAATACATTGAAAAGAAATGTTTGTCAAGCAAACATGAATCAAAAATATTCACAATTACACTTTATTACCTTCGTATTATTCATATTTTATGACTTTTACTTCGACTTATCGATAACAGCGTATTGTCACGCAAAGTACAATGCACATGTGTGCCCCTTCAGAAGCCTTTTATACTCTCTATAGAGATAAGAAATTCCCCGGTGGCTATTTGAATAAAATACCTTGCCAAAATTCACCCTCGTTCGTTCTATGTTATCTTATTCGTTGACCAGTGCAAGTAGACCGACGTCGATCGTTTTTAGCATGCTGCTCGCGTGATCGCAGAAATGGGCCTGACCTAGCTGATTTATTAATACGGACACTTAATCGAACTGACGACCTGAATTCGCGGCCTTGCCTTGGCTGCGTACACTCGCGAGAAAATTAATAAATTTCAGGAGAAAAATAGATTTTGAACAGTGTAATATTTCATGTCTTCGTAATAAATCAAAATTTATATTGCAAAATGATGGATTTATCGTTCTCGTGAACGAGGTTAGAAAATAAGAATTATACTTACATTTTATTCTCGTAATTATGGAACTAAATTAATAAACCAAATATATATTATCGTATTTGTAACTATTTATAATATGTAGAAGTTCATGAAACATTCTATTTTGCTGTGAATGTTTATTCGACCATAAGTATAACGTATAATTTTTAAAATTACATATGGAATTCTCCTAACCTAAAAAATCGAATAAAGTTTTAGTATTGTCAACATTTTTTAAAGTTTAATTACGAAAAAATTATCAAGAGACTGCAATTTTAAAGTGTTCTCTCATTTTTTTCAGGTCCACGCAAAACACGAGGAGAAGACAGAGAGCAAATCAGTGTACAGAGAGTACAACCGCGAGTTCCTGCTGCCTAAGGGAACCAATCCGGAGAGCATTAAGTCCTCGTTGAGCAAGGATGGCGTGCTCACCGTCGAGGCGCCACTTCCAGCGATTGGCTCGGGCGAGAAGCTCATCCCAATCGCGCACCAATAAATACCCAATATCGACTGAATGAATACACGAGACGAGATAAAAATGATTTTTGAAATCTCCATCGATAATTCCAGCATTCGTGTGTTCGTGTCAGATCGCTACCTTCCCCTTCTTCCCTCCTCCATCAGTTCCCGTAAGTCCTCTTCTTTCTTTTACTTTATTCTTTTTTGTTTTTCTTCCTTTTTCCCCACTTTTTGTTTTCTCTCAACTCCGACACTGTGAACTTTCCTATTTCCCTTGGATACCTACTTTCCTACCTTATCGACTCGTAAATTGTTCAATTTTTTTTTCTTTTCTGATCGTGTCTACATTCAACGTTGAAATTTGCAGACAAAATAATAAATGTAGAATGAAGTATTGGTTGAAAAACGAGGTTCACAGGGAGCAGAAGTTCCCGCGTGGGAATTTTGAATTGTAGAATCTTGCGACCAAGTGAAATCGAGCCTTCGCAGTCTTGTGCAAGATGGCAAAAGAAAAACGTGTCCGAACACTATTCTCTTTCCTTGAAAAGAAAATTAATACGACGTTCGTTCGTTCGTTCGTTCGTTGATCGTCTTGACGAAAATTGACTCCGGTTAGAGACGAATAAAACGTTTAATTACATCGAATACCAAGACGCTTCGATCCCTTTAAGGAATTGGTATACCATTGATATACATCGATTTTGTATACATTTCTAACGAAAGTTGAATTTTTTTTTGGTTTTTTAATAATTGAATTCAGTGTGGAGGGGTTTTTTAGTATATAAGAAACAATAATCGAATATGTCAATAAAATACGTCATTTATTCGGAGAGTCGTAGGATATCGCGAGAAACGTTCGACGTCCATCTGATAAACCGCCTACTTTTGTATAAAAAAAAAAAAGAAGAGAAAAAAAACTGTGTAGGTATTTGATATGCGGTGTTTCTTTCTTTTCGATTAGCTTTGTCGCTTTGATACACATACACACATTACGAGTTTTTACAATTGTTATTAGCCGATGGTAACCGGCACGGAATCGATTTATAAAATCACTTTTTCGAAGACTATAACCTCTCGTTACGGTCAACGAATGTGACGGTAGGAAATCAAAGATGTTTGATAAATTATTATTATTATTCTTCCTTTTTGGTACTGACCAGCTTTTTCGACGCTTTGATATGATGATATATATACATATATGTCTGTGTATGTACTTCCTTTTTAGAAGTAACACACTTTTCTCAAAAACACGCATTGCCTTTGACAAATAAAAAGTAATTTAAATTGTATTTCTTGGTATTGTAGATCGGTCGTTCTCGTGAAGCGACACGATGAGTGACGACAAATCGTCGCGGGGTTTGTCTAGAAAAAATTCAACGCGATCATGTGTGAAACGATAACTTATGTATGTGTTAGTTTTTAGGTGTACTACTTTAAAAGACTATAACACGAAGATGCTTAGAATATGTTAAGCATTGTAATGATTATTATTACAATTATTATTATTATTTATGAATATTTTACTATTATCGAGATATGTATGATGTTTAAAAGAAAAGGTAATGCGAACAATGTGGAAGTTTAAATAAACTTTAAAGGTAACCGATCGGTCTAATTTCTTTTACCATTCTTTAGAATAGCAGAGTATATTTAAAGAAAAAAGATTATTTATAAATAAACAAAAATCAGCTAACAGGTTATCATCACAGTTTATTAATTTCGAAATCTTTATTAACAAAATATTTTATTCTTCTTATATACATTCATACAGAGTTTATCTTAAACGATTATAAAATTGTTACATCAAACGCGACTGCATTTTTCAAAATAACATCACCATAAAAATTTATACAACAAATAACGTATGTGTGTACTCGAACATTGCCTCAATTCGCGCGCATTGAATCGAATTTAAATAACAAATCGAATCACGTGTTTATATATAATACGCATCCATAAATGCACGACAATAAATAAATTTCGTTTTAATGCAATTCATTGTTCGCAGAAGCAGTGATTCCCAAAGCGAATCTCTCTCTCTCTTATATTTAAATTGTAAATTACTTACATTTATTGCGCGGATATACATATATAAAACGTTGAGTTTGAGAATCACCACGTGAACAATTTGCACGATCTAAACCAAATTTCCTGATACAAATGTATACATTACAAATAAATTCTTCAATCAATTCGGTCACTTTGTTTTGTATCTGGGCTCGTATAAAAAATATATGATGGTAACGTGCAATATACAGTTTAAAAATAATTATATATACACTGCAGAGAATCTCACGAATTTCTTTTCCTTTTCCTTCGATTCTTTTTTTACAAACAGGTGGCACGTTATCCTTGAACAGGAGAGATAGATATTATTTTAATATTTGGATTGGACTACATAAATATCAATGGGAGAAATCTAACCCTTAAACTACGCGTTACTGTTTTGGTATATATTATATTGATTAGGATATTGGTTAGTCAAAAGGTGATAAAAAGCACCGATGTGATATATTAACAATAAATACCGTATAAAAAGGACTATAGGCGAGACTTAAAAACGAATTTTGACTATTCGCCAATTCAAATAGGAATTCAATTTCACTTACAAACGAACCTCTTCGTGATAATCAATCGAAATTTTAATTCCAAGAATAATATCACTTATAAATAGAATTATTATAAAAATCTAAACGCATTTTTGAAAAGGTTCTTTCATCGGACGATATTCCATTCCATCGTAAAAATCCGTATCAAAGTCTTCTTTGCATAGGAAATCTATTGTTCGTTACGAGACTATAATTATAAACTAGGAATTTCCGCTGAAAATAGAGGTGCATCCGAAGCGGTGAACGTGGGTGATTTCCCTTCTCTAGCGATACGCAGTGCTTGATGGATAGAAACAGTATCCAATTCCTTTTGATTAGGCGTCTCATTATCCAAACAAATATCTGCAGCTCTCTTCCCAAATGGTACCAATACTTTTACTCTATAATCAACGATCGTCGACACAGGGTTGCCTGTTAATCTCAAATTCTCCAAACAAGGAAGATGACCAATGTGCATTACCTCCTCGATCTTCTCTATGCGATTGCAACTCACGTCCAAACCTTCCAATGAATACAGTTTTGAGAAACTTGCCAATGACGTTAATTTGTTCTGGGACAGGTCGATGTACACGATATAACCGAGTTTCGTATGCAAATCATCGGGCAGAGTTGTGAAATTGTTCGACGCCAGGTATAATTCGGACAGTCGAGGTAGCTTAGTGACGTTGGGGATTTCAGAGAGCAGGTTATTGTTCAACGTTAAGCATTCTATGTGCGGTAACAGTTTGATTGCCTCGTCTATAGTCTGTATTCGATTATCACTGAGGTCTAGATGAGTTACTTTTAACCAGATGTGAGAATCGTTAGCATTCTCAATATTTTTGTGCACTTCCTCACACATAGCTAGTTCGACGATGTTCCTGAGCTTTGTATTGTTCACTTTTAAACATTTTACAGTGTCTCTGAGGTTACCCATGTGGTATATCTTATCTACCGGATAGTGATCAATGGTCAGCTCTTCTATATTTCTGAAACTTGATAGTTCAATGGATAGTGCTGAGGAGTATATGTTGCTGGTTTTGTAGGGCTCTAAGCTTCCTTCAATTATGAGGCCAGTTAGATGAGAATTGAAATCCAAGACATGACTAAAGTAGTACTTTTTGTCAAGGACTTCCAATGATGGACAAGGTTGTTTCAATCTTTCACTGATTGCATATAACTGAAAGGAAATGACTGCATTATAGTCTGCTTGAATGTGTAACAGTGATAGTAATAGAAATATGAATGTACAATGGGAACCCCGTTATGTAAAATAATGCAGGATTCATTGTATTAAAATACATATTCACCTGAACTGGATTGAACTTATATGTCTTAGACTTTTGCAATAAGTTGTTGCCCTCTGTAAAAAATTCTAAAGCCATGCTCTGTATTAGGAAAAATATATCATATATATGCATATCCAGAAATACAGCCAGTTCCCTAGGCATTGCTTTTTTCAAATAGTTGTACACTTCATTTAGATAAACTTCTAAGCTCAGTCTACGCTTCTCTACAAAAGCTTCACATTTATTCCCAATAAGTTTCTTTGGTGGCAATATATCCTTTTTAACAAAATTCTCGGTGACAAGTTTGTCATGAAGCTCTACAAAATCATTGTACCTGCAAACAAATAACAACTATAATAAATTGTTCAACTTTAAAATTAAATATAAGTGTATGACATAATAAAAAAATGATCAAAAAACAAAATAAATTTTATTTAACTGCAAAATACTCTAAAATAAATCATTAATCACAACAAACATGTTTATCGATTTTCTGTTACAAGATAAATTTCGGACGATATAAAAATAGGTCATTATTTATTTAATTACCAAAATCAGCAAAAATTCTTGGTATTAAACCATGTTATAACACAGCACAAACAAAATATTTGATATAACATTTCTCTAATCGAACAGAAAAATACTGCACAGGGTAAAATTAAGCAAACATTTGAATTCCATGGAAATCGCAAACAGAGATGATAAAAAAGAACTATACGTCACATAGAATAAGAACGATAAGCGCTTACCTGTGCTTGACGGTCCACTTGATCGAAGAGATCCTAACCTCGATGCAGTAATATGTGACACCGTCGACGGTGTCCACCGACGGTATTTCGATGTGCATATTTTCCTGATTTAATAAAAAACACGCCATCCTTTCGACGTTTCGGTGATCGACGAGCACGAACGTGGCAACAGTTGTCACTGGGCCGTCGATTGGGCCGAGAGGTTATCCTGAATCGAGGCGAGAGCTGACAATATCAACTATTTTGCATCAGAGGGAGGGACGTCTGTTATCTGTCCAGTGCATTGTACTCTCCGCCGAGAACCTACCGCGCTGCTTTTTTCACTAGTCCTTCACTCAGAATGCGAGACAAGTTTACGAGACAAACGAACATCTTTAACAGTAGCCTTCACGAAGGAAACGTCTACTGTGCTTCCACCTTGCGATTAAATTAAGCACTGATCCGAGACAGCATGTATATGCTTTGCAATTATTACACAGGTTCTCAAGTTCTCGATTTCAATTTATACGTCTAACCCTTTTCTTACCTGGTTAGAATTGGTACTACTTACAAATCTAAATTGTGTATATTGAGACATTTTTATTATTCCATAACCAAAAAGAAAGAATCAGTCTTTTCTTTGCTAGTCAATAGAATAATACTTTTCTTTTTCTCAGTATACAAAGATTGTCATTGTTATTATTCATTTTCTAGATTTCAAAACTTTATACGGAGATTGACACTGTCATAATGATAGAGCAAGAAAGTGTTGTTAAAATGAAATAGAACCGTGTCAAATAATGTCTTATCGTATTGATACTTACTATATCAGCAATATATGTACATATATGCAATTATCAATAAATTAGCGTTTGTATTAACAAGAAAGAAATGCCAACGAGTGATTTGCATTTAAAATAAGCTTTGGACAGTATTTAAATCGACTCTGGTTTGTGTAACATAAAATTAAGTGCCATGTTTCGTGCGTCTGATGATTAATAGCGAAGTTGATAATTAGTCATATTTCTGATAACCTATTTAATATTCACCGACAATTAAATATTCACTGACATTATTGCCGTCAAAGCTGCATATACATACGAGAAAGTTAAATTTGTAACAAAGGAATGTCTTGCATATTATATATTAATTATTACACCATCTTGCGAATAAAGAAATCGAACGTTTATAAACATGTACTTTATATAGCCGTGTTTCATAACTGGTTTGGGAAATCAGGTTTCACGTGTACTTGCTCACGTGACATATTAATTCATAATAGGATTCATAAAGATTCGTAGATCTAAAAGATCGCCCCGTTTCCTCTTAGTGGCAGGTCGTGTTGCTATCAAATGGACGAACGCGCCCATTCACGGAGGATCTCATTGGCGACAACCTGTTGCTGCAGTGGCGTAATCAGAATTTCATCGACATAGTTGCTGCTCGATGCCCGTGTCCTCTATCGGCGGTCCAATGGAACGCCTCTTTTTTTCGAGTGATTCATTTCATCGACCTTCGATAACCTAACCTTTCCTAATCGAATCTGTAAATCGATTATATCAAACATGTTAGAATATGAAATTAATCGAATAGCATTTGCACGCGTTAACTTTTTTTCTGTTGTTATACGCGTCAACATTTTTTTAAGGTTATGTCATCAATGTCAACGTGTGCTCGAATGTTTACATGCCGCAGGCGGACGCGACAAGTCGAGCTTTGTTAACTTAATGAGTCTTGCACTCTGTGCAAATAATGAGAATTTCACACAGCGCACTGTCGTTTTATGACCTATTCAGATGAACGTTTACACATAGTTACGTATGTATGTCCAACGTTGAATTGCATAAGATAGCTAGTGTAAGTAAAAGGAGACGTCCAACGCATTTTTTCTATCGTCAACAACTTTACTACTTCTTCAGCAAAGAAAAAATGTAGTAAAGAACACGTGTCGATGAAAATGCTCATTTTGAATACATTTCTTATAAAATAAAATACATACGTGAAAAAAGTTTCAGTAATATAGTCGTATAGGAAAAGATCCCACGATGACCGCAAAACGACCGAACAAAATGTATTAATAGCAGCGTCAGCTGTTACTTCTCGATGTACGAATACCGTGAATCCGAGCGTCTAACTGCCGATCGCCATGAAATACCTATTCCCCAATGTTCCTTATTTTCTCCAGTAGTTTCCACGAAGTGGTTCCGAATTCTAAAAATAGAGGATTTTTTTCGCGGCGGCAATGATACGTTTACGCCACTGCTAATAGGTAGAGGTTTTTATTATGAATAATAGCAGTTTCGATTTAGTTAGTATAGCTTTTCCCTAGAATACATATTAAAACACATTTTTACCATTTCTTTACTATGTACAATCCTTATTTAAAAAAATTATTGTCAAATTTATTTACATCTACATCGATAAAAAGAGGTTAGAAATATTAGCACTCTTAAAGAACAATTTATTTTACAATAAAAATGGTATTCACATGTCGTTAGCACTTTTCTTCACTTTTCTATGCTGTTTATCGTGATACATTTGTTCTCCTACACCAATTAGTTACTAGCACCATCTAACAAACGTAAAAGATGTTAAATCAAGTTTTTATAATTCATCATTTGATGTAACCTTACGTACAGAGCATATTCACAACACTATACTTTACATCTTCGGAGAATGTTTACAGATGCTGAGTAGAAAGGGATACCTGTGAGAACGTAGATAGGGCATAGGGCAAGGGAATCGGTATAAATCGCACGAAGAGGGGCCCAGTGACAGGGAATTTCCTTCTCGTTCGAATATCGGCTTGTTTACGCCACTGTGAATCGGTGGATGCTGCGTCAGGAGCAATGGCGGCACTGGCTTACCTGGCCAGTATATACCTATCTTCCTCCCCTCCTGTTCGTACCGTCGTCACGTTCCTCAGGGCAACCCGACGAACCTGTTGCCCGTTCTCATCCAGTGTCGTGTCGCTTTCACGACGGTCGTGCGCGGTTCATCGTGGTCCTTTGGTTCTACTTTGAAAACTGACTGTCGCGTAACAAATACTATATTTACGAGAATTTTCGAAATATCCATTTTCTACCTCATGATTATCACTTCAATAATGTCTCGCTTTGTAAAACAATTCTCTTATCCATCTGGTTTCCACAATTTCACCACATTCTGAACCGACTCGCGATCAGTGACCATACACATACATACCATGATTTGTGAGCGCCGCGAGTGAGGTTATCCAGGAGTTACGTTGTCCTCGATGGACCATTTGTGATTGTTTCACGTGAAATTTTGTGAAGCTTCTTTTATTTGTGTCACGTTCAAGTTGACACTTGGAATATGATCGTTTTACCGGAGAAGAATTTTCGACCGAGTTCTGTGAAAATGGACCGAAGAAAACTTTGAGGATTACAGTGTAATTCCAGACTCGATGCATACCGTGGAAAGCGGTTTCCTTGTCCCGTAGTGGCGTCCCTCTTTACCGATGCTGCAACGTCAGTGATGATTTACGAGCGCTGCCACAGTGGAGATTTTTCGACGTGTGCAATGATCGATAAACGTGGAACGGATCTTCTCGTGACCCGATCGCTCGTGAACAGGATTTAATATTCTCTGATCGTCGGAATGCGTACGTTCGTGAAAAATTATACGTTCTGAAGGGTTATTGCGTACCGTTGATTGAAATTAAATTGTACACATA